TAAAAATTGAAAATGCGTGAAAAGTTTTTAATTCAACTAGGGGATGGTGGGGTACGTTGAGACATGGGTTACAGTGAGACAAATCAAATAATTGTTAAGCCGTACATAATTTTTTCTATTGAGTTGACCTAATCTGTACTTTAGTAGGACCGTTAGTTTACAATATAATTTTCTGCGACGAAAATCGTGAGTTGCGTTTTTTTATTCTGATTTTTGATTTTTTGACAGATTTCTAAACGTGTTAATATTTGGTTTGGGATGTAATTGTACAATTACTTGCAATGATACTGTGATCACTCCCACATGAAAGTTTGACGTTTCAATAAGAAATTTGTTCATATAGAAGCCAAATTTTTATTCCAATTGGTTTTGGCACGTCGAATAATTATGTCAACAACTGTGTGGGGTACAGTGAGACAACAATGATGGGACACAGTGAGACGTATGGGGTACCTTGAGACAATAACAAAACTGATGTTAAACATGATTTCTTAATTAATAAAATAATTATTAAATGATTATATAATTAATATAATAATTGATTTGCAGACAAAAATAAGAAATAGGAAAAGAAATTCCAACAATGGCATGTTATGGCATACTAATAAGAGCTCCTCCATCCACTTTTTCGTTACCTCCTTCCCATTCCCACATTTTCATTGCGCTCTGGCGAATAAATATTTTTAATTTATCATGCATACGGTTGCGATTAAACCTAAACGAACGGGTAGTTACAATTTAATCGGTTTGCCTATTTATTTGTTTATTTGCATGTATTAATAACTTTTTTATGTAGCGCGATGTTCAAAGCACATTTTGTTTTAAAAAATAATTTGAAATATTTTAAAAGTTTTAATAATTTAACCATTTCTATTAATTAATTTAATTTTTTTTTGAATATTCATATAGTTTGATTCGAACATGGTGTTTTATTTTGTTTTCTAGTTGTTCTTAACAAACAAATATAATTGAAGTAATGTTCTTTTCAAAAGAATGAAAACTTGTGCAAAATACCAAAATTAGTTCAAGGAGCGCCTGTAATGTTGTATAAATCAGGAGGCAGAGGATGTTGAAATTTGTACGGGAACGTAGGTACCACTGGCTTCCGTTCAGCCTTTGCTTCGTTTATTGAGGAGTTTTGAGCAGACATTCAAAATAAAATTAAAATCAGATGAACCATGCAAAGAAATATCACGTTCATAACTTCAGTTTGCATGTAGGTTTAGTGATAAACTGTTGTTGTTGAGTTGGTTATTCACGACCCAACCACGTTAAGCAAATTTTTTTTAACTTTGTGAATCGTATCATGAAAAATCAAATAAGCATTATCTTTAATAGAAATTGAAAGGTCTCCAAATGTTTATTTAAATCCCTTGCTTAATTTACAATGACCATGTTTCTAAATTTAATTTCACAAAAAGTACCATTTAAATGAACAAACATTGCTCCACTTAGTCTTGGGCAAGAAATATGTAAAACATAATAACAAATATGGTGTTATCTATCGGAAATGATTATAGGCGGAAACACAAACACGGAGATCACGTGACTTGCGAGCATCAATCGAATGATTACCTTTCATAACTTGCTCTACAGAGCTTCAAATGCAACTGACGTAACAAATATTACTTACGATATCGCATGCACATCCATCCGACCAATCAGAATCTGCTCCTTTCATCCTCCTACCTGTAAGAGCGTCGATTCGACCAATGAGGAGAGCGAGGGGCGTGGTTTGTAACTTGAGATGAAAATTTCATGGAAGCCTTGCAATGATTTAAGTGATGATCGAGCTCTTCAAAGTTCTTCGCTTAATTTGCACGCGAGTTAAACGTCGGAATGATCACACAGTCTTCAGCACAGTTCACGTACGTGTTTGTTCGTTTGCTCCACAATCCTATGAACGTGAAATTTAATAATTTATTCACTTTAATTTTCATAAAAGCATACATACACACGTACATAACACACACTCTCTTACTCACGGACACCACACACACATACAATCTAATATATATATATATATATATATATATATATATATATATATATATATATTATAATATACATATATATCTAATATATACATATATATCTAATATATGTATATGTATTTAATATATGTATGTATATATATATATATATATGTTTATGGTGTTAAACGCCATTTTATTAACATATCAATATATATATATATATATATATATTTTACAAACGAACTACAAACATATATATATATATATATATATATATATATATATATATATATTATTATAGAAACAGCTATATCATTAATATTTATTTTACTGATATAATTTAATGTATAATATATATATATATATATATATATATATACATATATATATATATATATATATACATACATACACAGCATACAGTTATATGAAATGTGAGCGGGTGATAGAAACATATGATAAGTTGCAGATAAATAGAGTTGGGTGCATGAGAGATTGTTAAATGCTTGCCAGGCGCAAACTGG